AAGTAAATTCACCCATGAAGCTTGAGAATTTTTCATCATCTTGTTGTTGTTTTGATTGAAACTCATTTTTGAGTAACATAGCTTGCGATGAAGATAGTACAAACACCCCATCATTATCTAGTACCACCAAGCTATTGTTATTGAGCGTGATATCATAGCCTTCATGGCTATAGTGTATTGGTTGATACAGTGAAGGAGGGAGCAGTGTTATCTTCATTGTTATTGGCATTATCAAGCGTTGCACTGGTCGTTAAAGGACTGATACCAAGCCCAAATACAGGAAAACCAAGTTGCTCTATGGCTCGTGAATCTGTCACTCTACCTAATACCATAACCGCACTGACACCATGATACATAGCGATACAAGTACGCAACGCCCCCCAACAAGCTCTATGATTCAATACTCGAGCATCAATACATAACACATCACCTGATTGGCAATTTAACAATGCTTGACGAATTGCTTGTGTATTTTCATTTTTCAAAATCACGGTCACCAAGTTGCCTGCATAGACTTTCTGACATGGGGCAATCGGTCTTAAACCTGCAACATAGCCTTCACCGATGAGATGCCCAATGGTTGAAGTGTTAATAGTTTGATAAGCGTCAATAAGTTCTTGAGATATCCGTGCCATTGCCAAACCTTGTTGAAAAAATTATTGAGAAAATTGATGAGATATTTGATAAAAAGGATTGGTTGTGAAGCTTGCTCCTGCTGGCATACTTCCGTGTTGTTCATCGCCTCGCTCAGCGATAGGCAATAGCAAGGTTTTGTATGGGTAGTTTGGTTGCTCTAACAGTTGCTCAATTAACCATATACGGCGTTGTTCATCCAATGCCAGCGTGGCTAATTGGGTGGTTAACTGCTGATAAGCTACTTGCCACAGCGATGCTTCGTCAATCTGATAGTGGTTGGCAAGGCTCTCAATAATGGCTCTGATATTCACTAAAATACCTAATGATTGAAAGTAAAACAGCAGTTCTGTTGCAGATTGGCAATACAGTCGATTGCGAAAATTTGGCGGACTCAAATAACAGGGGTCGGCTATGCCTTGTTCAGTTAGCCAAGGTAAATAAATACGCACAGAGTCATGGTCACGTAACAATAGCCCAACCGTGTGAGCCTGCTCGGTAACAAGTACGTTATTTTGACCATGTAACTCGGGGATAAATCCCAGCTTTAGACAGCGTAACATCGTACCAAAAAATATCTCGCAGATTTCTGCAAACGCTTCCTGCACGGCTGTGTGTAGTCGTGACATATCATCTAACTTGTCTTTGAACCATTCGTCAAACAGATGATAATCAGAACCATGGTGAGCCAGACTTGCCATGGGTATAAGCCGAGTGGTATCACGACACACTTCTTCAGGCAATCGTCTCAATAAAATGCCGAGTTGCGTGGGCTTTTCTTGATAAAAATAAGGGTTATCACTACTTTTATCGTGGCAATGCCCCTGCTCCATATATGTCCACCACTGTGTTTCTTCCCACAAATACAACTGGGCTTTGAGTGTGGCATCAAGCGTCTTTGCCTGTTGTAATATTCGTTGATTTTTTTCACCATTAATTAGCTTAAGTGGTGGTAAGTAGCGTTGCGAATTGAGTGCAAAAATAGCCAATGGCAGTTTGGTACTGTAAGCAGAAGGGCTGTCTAACAGTAGGCTACGAGTAGATGAACTTGCCAACATCGTCAATGCCTGAAAATCCAAAACCACCACGATTTTTTGCTGATGCTCTGTCCCATACAACCGTTCAAGCATACGGGGAAGTTGCCACGGATGGATAGGGATTGCAATGTGTGTCGTTGAGAGATTTTTTTCACACACCTCTTGATTCAGGGCTTGGTATTGTGGTGCTGATAGTAGCAAGTTAGCAGGGGTCTGTTAATCTGCCACGCCCGAACCATACATCACATATCGCTTGTCCTTGTCCACCCAATTTAGGCAAATGGGTTGGTTAAACTCAGCCATATAGGCTTGATAGTTTGCTTTGTACATCACATATCGCTTGTCAAGCGCCACCCAATTTAGGCAAATGGGTTGGTTAAACTCAGCCATATAGGCTTGATAGTCTGCTTGGTCAAAGCCGATTTTTGCTTTGGCAAGCGGATGAAAGGGTCTATCGCATAAGGATGCCCATTGCTCCGCCACTCGCCAAGTCTGATACCAGTGATCCTGTGCATTAATCGGGGTAACATGGGGGTTTGAGATAGCGTTTTGCTGTGACCAAAGCAAGGCACGTTTGGCAAGTTTCAGCTGTTCTTGCAACAGATTAATGCCTTGTGGGTTATTGCTTGTGTTAGCTGGATTATTGGCTAGCCCTTGTAATAACAGGGCTAATAATGCCTTGCTATCGGTAATAACTTGATAGCACACAGCGTCGTTTGGCTGGCTTATCTGTTCAACGCATATGCCAGTGCTGTGAGCAAGCCTAACCACAGGATAAGTTGATTTTTTTAGTCGCCAAGGACTACAAAACCCATGTTCTACCTGTATCATCATCTCACAGCCATCACCTGAAATGAGATGCAGACAATCACTAGACAATCACTATCCGTCTCCAATAAGTCATGGTAAGCCGTTGGCAAGGCTGAATATAAAGCAGTCTTTAGCCACAGGGGCTGCTGCATTAACAGACTGGTGCTTGTGCTGATAATATGATTGGGGGATAGCCAGTTTTCTAGTAAACAACATTCGATTATATTCGCCATGATTTGCCATTCAGCGGATAAACAAAGTGTCTGACTGGCATCACCATCGCTCGTGTGAGCGATTGGCTGATAGGGTGTCGTATGGTTGTCCTGCTTGGGAGCTGTTAGAGACATTGTTACCCCTGCTTCAATTTAAACTGAGACAATGGATTGTCTAGCCATTTGATTGGAAAATCACGGTCACCAAATAATCGACGTTTTGCCAGTGATTCAATTCTGGTTTTTTCAGCAAACAAGTCAAAGCACTGATAGCGAGATTGATGTTCGGGATAGCGTTGTGCAAAGGCATAAATACTATCAGCCACTTGTTGCCAAAATACGGCTTCTGAATAGTGATAATGGGTCTGTAAAAAAATAGCAATATCAGCAAATGCCACAAAAAACAGACAAGCAACCGTCATATCACGAATACCTGCGGTATCGTCTGCTGTTTCGATAAATGAGCCACGATTAAGCCTTGCATGTGCCTGTGGTAGTTGCTCTAAGATAGGTTTGGTATTAGGGTGAGTCAGCTTATCAGGGCAAAAGCGAATGCCATCATGCAAATCTTTCAGTAACACCTTGATGGGATAGCCATCATCATGCACCAAAACGATATTTTGGGCATGGCACTCCAATGCAATGCCTTGGGCAAATAGCATATAGATAATCGGTGTAACCGTCACGTCAATCAGTTGACCCACCCAATCTGCCATGTCATAACGTTGCAACCAACTATCAATCAAAGGTTTGCCATTTGGCTGAATATAGCTAATACCATTGAGCGGGAATGCTGACTGCCCTTGCCCTAAATACTGATGAACATTTTCACGCCATATACTTGCCAAACCGCCATAGATTGCAGGGTGATGATAGCCTTGTTGTTGTAAGCGTTCGTGGTTTAGGCTCACCCCCATGACTTCACCCAAGAAATTCACTTGCAAATCTACGGCTTGCTTGTCGTTCGCCACCAATGTTTTTAGCCAATGTGTGATGGTTGCACTATTTAATACTGTATGTTTTGCCAAAATACGGGTACTTGATGTATTCACCAAGTGCATTGCCAGTTTGAGATAAGGTGATGGCGATAGGGCGTGTTTTTTATTATCAGTAGGGTGATAAACTAAGGTACGAATCGACTGCTGGGCATAATACTCCATGCCAACTTCACCAAGATAGACCACTTGATGCGTTTGCATTAGGGGTGTCAATGCCTCTATTAATGTTGCTTGCCACTGCCAAGGATGAACAGGGACGAACGCAAAATGCTCAACAGCTAATTCATATTGCGATAGCCGTTCACACAACTGCTCATAAATCTCATCACCAAGATATTGGCGACACCAACTGGCATAACCAAACTCTTGCGTGGTGTTAGTGACCAATAGCTCTGTATTAACCGCTAGCCACACCAGTTGTATCGGATGGGCAAATTCTGGACCAAAACGGTCATTATCTTCTAAGCTAAAACCCAGTCTTGATTTATAACAAGGGTGATACGGATGCCCAAAGTCCAAATAGCCTTCCAACTCATCGTAAGTCATCTCGTGTAGTTGTTTGATATGTTGCTGTCTATGGTGGCGTGATTGGCAATCATGGATGAACGTTTGACGTAATTCTTTGATAAAACTGTCTTTAAGCGTTGCCTCTTCTAATGGCATTAACACATCATTAATGACATCATCAAGGTGGACTGTTGTTTGCATACCTTGATAAGTTTTGGTTACAGGCGTATCAGATAAGCGAATCATGCCAAAGCTAAAATGCACTCGCCCAATGGCTTTATATACCACATCGTTCGGACACGTGATACTAAACTGAACCAAGCCCTGCTCAAGACTTGAACACTCAACCACACATACGTTTGACAAAATATCTTCAAACAATAATGCCTGTAACAACTGGCGGATAACCCGTTGCTCAACTTCGTGAATAATTGCAGTATCCAGTGGCGACTGCCACACTTGCAAAGCGTTAGATGTCAAAATATTCCCCTTAAATTTATGATTGTTGTTGATTGATAAAACTACTCGATGTTCTTGGTAATGCAAATGCAAAGGGCAAACTAAGCAATAACATCCCACCTATTAATAACAATAGCTCCTGTAAAATGCCGACCTCATTAACGGCTTGTGTTTGACGATAATTGACATACACCATCCCCACC